TGCAATGGCTGATTAATTTTTGGTAAGTAAACGTTTATTTACATTTATATACTAACAGCTGTGAATTATAAAATAGCAACATTTTATAGCCTCAAGAGTTTCATGTCATCATTATCTATATCAGTGAATTTACAGGGTACAGAATAATAACACTCGAGTCCACGAATGGGACAGAGGTGCCCAAGTAAACGTTTACAATATGTTTACAGTATTAATATCTATAATAAAATATAATTTAACTGAAATAGCGGACGTTAAGGAATCGAGACAATATATTCAATTTTTCAACAGTGATTTTTGAAAAACACAAGCCAGAATATATTTTCGTGTTCTGTGGTACGCTCGTAGGTACCAGAGGGAGACTTTGTACAAAAGTCGATTGCTTGGGTACCTCTGTCCCATTCGTGTTTCAACCGTGAAGCAGTTGTGTTTGCATGGCTGTGTTTCGGTTTGAAGAGTGGGATATGGCGTGAATTTACTGGGTACAGAGGAATAACACCTGAGTCCTCAGGAATGGCAACGCATGGGGGTATCATGGACGAAACAGTATACTCTGTTATGTGTATGGTACTGCTCATGTCTATAGGCGACGGTTACCACTTTCCATCAGGTGGGCCGTCAGCTTGTTTGCCATTCTAAGTTGTATAAAAAAAATGTAGGTTTATATATTGTACATTCTTAATCACAATACAAAGAACTATATTATTACATTATGTAAATGTAAGTTTGTTTGTTTCCTCTTGGATCCTTAATGTTCGATCAGTCGTCATAAAATTTTGTATGCTTATACTAATTTGAATGGGGAAGGACATAGGTTACCCAATTATCTCGATCAGTTAACACAATTATGAAGGTCATACGGACGAAGCACACAGATAAAAGCTAGTTCATACTCCAAATATTAGCTTTTAAGCGCTACTTTATTATCTCTAAAATTGTGCTGTATGCGACCATCTAGGTTCTTAGAGGCTATAGGGCGAACCCCCTGTCGATGGCGATTTCAAAAAAATATTGTTTTGATAAATATTTTAATTTTTTTTTAAATATTTTTTATGTTTAGACAAGGACTAGTTACAATTGTATTATATTAGTAAAAAATAAAATTAGTATATCAACATGTACTTACTATGTACATGAAAGATATAAAAGAAAAACTATTATAAGTAGGCTTTATGAATGCAATAGAATCCAAAACAATGATTTTTACATTATTTGTCCGTTTGTGTGTTTCTGCCTGTACTTTTGTGCACACTAATCTCAGAAACGGCTTATCCGATTTGAATGCGGTTATCACTAATGCGTTGCGGTTTGTTCTATTTAACATTTAGTGTTTGTTTTATTTTAATAAGTTCATAAATAAAAAAAAAGGTATATTAATCTAAATAATCACATGTAAAATGCTATAAAATAACCGAAAATTTGAATTGGCTGAAACTTTATGAAGGTATTAGGTACGTAATTATCCTTTAGATATATAATACAATGAGACGTGAGTTATTACTTAGAGGTTGTAGCGCTAATGCAAGTTCAGGAGCTCTGGCCGTGATTCCAACTAGGATGGGTGACCACAGTCCGTACTATATGGGATGGAGGCTACTTTTTACCGCGGTCAGTAAATATGTTAAACGAAGTCGCGGGCGAAAGCTAGTAGTTGATTAGTATTGACTGGTTGTTAATCTTCATATTAATGATGAATAGCGTAACAGTACCGGTTGCTAGGAAAGACGGTAGTAATTCAACGATAAAGACATATTCGCGGAAGATCGTGTAAGCAATTTACTAGGAACGAATACGTAAACAAAAGTATAAGGTGTGGTAGTTTATTGAAAAGAAAATGTTGACATTACGAACTAATTTCCGCCTGAACAATAGAGAGTCGCTGCTGTCATAATTAACGTTGCATTGCATTGCGTCAATTATGTAATATCAATTTTACATGCATGCACGCACTGGTCTCAGTGACGTCGCACGGTATGTTTCATTTGTTCCAATCAGCTTGATTTTATACAGTAAGAACAATTTTTTTATGGGTGAAAATAGAATGATAACTCCATCGGAATGACTTACACTATTGGTGTAAACTGGTAGGACACCAGCAACGAATGATAGGTGAAGATGGATACAGGTCAGTTGGTTCATGGTGACACGAATTCATCAAAAATTAAACATGATAGTTTCTAATAAGAATCGCTTGGAGGTTGATCTCATGATCATCGTTCATCATTTCAGCCGTTAAGCCCACTTATGTCCATTGCTGAACATAAGTCTATCCGATAAGGGGAGTTTTGCCAGTAGTTGCTACACTTGACAGGCGGGTTGACAACTGTAGTTAAGCTTTTTGGGATGTTTTAAGAGGGACGCTGCTGTCCATATCTCTACTATTAAGTTTCTTTAGTCGCCACTTACAACACCTACTGAAAAGGAACGTGTGGCCTATTTTATATCGGGATCACATGGCTACGGGGGTTTTTTTAGGGTGATAATGGAATGGTACCCCGCCTGTGCTATCGGTATACGCCGGCGGGGCACCGTGATAGGTAATAGGTGACGATGAAAGCAAGTCAGTCAGCCCATTGTGATAAATTTCACTACGATTAACCAGGATGGTTTTCTGGGGGAACCGCGTGGAGGTCGACCTGACAGGGTGTGTTGTTAGCAATGATTCAATTAGACTCTATTACTAACAGTCCCTTCCCCCCTTTGACCTGCTAGGGTTTATTGCTTACAATGGAGCCGCTAATCCCGATTACTAACAATGAACGAATAGTTTTAATGTCGAAGGCGTTGACCGGGTTGTTTCGATACCGTTGCGTTTTCTACTATGTGAATCACAGATTAGTGTGTTGCCAATACTGCCAATACTGGAGTAAATGCACTTTATTGGGGGGAAAGGAATTGTTAGTAATGGAGTTTGACAGACTCAATACTAGCAATATGCCCTATTAAGTCGACCTCCACGTGGTTCCCTCTGGAAACCATCGTGAACAATTTTTGTTGAATTCGTCACGATGGGCTAGCTGACCTGTCTCATCCTCACTTATTATCCTTCACTAGTGCCCCGCCGGAGTATACCGATAGCGCGCGTGGGGTTACCATTCCATTATCACCCATTAAAAAATATGCACTTTATTAAAAAAGTATTATTGTCAGAAATTGATAATATAGTCACAATAAATAATCCAAAATGGCTTTTTCGTTTTGAAATCCAGTGAGTGAGTAGAATCGCGGGTTGAAATAATCATACGCCTTTTAATAGGATTAACAAGTAATAACGATGTAAAAAAAGAAATTGAAAGTATGCTATTGCGCAAGTTTTGCAACCCATAGAAAATGTATTCAACAATTTAAACTATAATAGTGCATTGTCATGCTCCCTTGGTGGAAACACGATAAATGTTCTAAGAACGCACGTCATTAATGACATCATCCCATACTACTGCTAATAAAAAATTGTTATAATTTCCATTCAAAACTATTCTGATTGTATATCATGGATGTTAGAAGATAAATGAATAGGATTTCCTAGGCGCGCCACTGAGCATGGACTTCGGCTCTTCGCTTCCATTTATTTGAAACAACCCTACGTATGCCATAGTTTGTCGTTCCACATAACCGTAAGTCGTTTACAGTATTGCCGATTCGCGATCTCCATTCTAGAACACGTTTATTTCAAAATTTGCCGCTCTATAACAAATATTATATTTTTTGTATAGGAATAATACCAGGTACTGAATTTTATCACCGTACAACTCGCCATAAGCTAAAGTTTCATTCCGACCATTTAGGTGAGTGAATGTCCTCCACCGTAAGTTCCTATACACATTTTCTTCCACGCATAACCAAAAGTTTGGAACTGACTCTCAGTAGCAGTATTTCCGAACTGATACGGCATCGAAACCTTCAGGAAAATAGCATATTCATTCTTAAAAGGACAGCAACACACCTGCACTTTTTCTGATGTTGCGGGTGCCTATAATTAACGGTAATCATTTACCATCAGGTGAGCTGTATGCTCTTTTGCGTCCTAAAAAGATCCAATTCATATCAGTACATATCACATATACAATATATATTACAAATAACATATCATAGAATTATCAACTTTAGTTTGCAAATTCGTGGAACTAAGTCGGTAATGTTGAGTATTTGTGTAGTAGCGCTGGCCCAGGGGTAGAGCAAAAGGAGTGGTCGCTTTAAGCGCTAGACGGCAAGGGGCGACAAAAAGCCAAATCCAAAGACATTTTCCTTCGCAAAATAAAATTTCGAGAAGGGAAGTAGAATTTACGTGAAGTAAAAGAGTCGACCAAAGAGCGCCGAAAGACAGTTATACTGTACCTTAATCAGTGGCTATTGTCCAGTAAATATTGTGTATTTGCAAAAAACCTTTCATGGTAGTCTAAGTGAATGCAAGCATAAAACGATAGCGCAAGCGGAGATATCATGACCGTTTACTATCAGTTGGGCTGTATACTTATTATAAAAGACATTACATTTAAGATCTTGACTTTTTGCATTAGGTTCTAGATGTGACTTAGGCTTTAGCAAATTTTTTTTATTCCTAGGAAGTGCCCTCAGGAATCAAAGATAGGTCTTATGGACTGGTAAACAAATTTGGAATATATTGTCATATCAAAAGTCGAAATACAGCCTTGCTATTTAGTAACAGAAATACCTACTCAAAGAATCACAGGGCCCATGTAAGTTACTACTTCTAGTTTAAATACTTTATTTTTCTACATAAACTATTTGACGTTATCACGAATTAGACGCGGGCGAAATACTGAGTAATTATAGCTCGTGATCTTACGTCGATTTTCGTTGTATTGCATCAGAATTTTTGATTACAGTACAGCTTGTTCAGAAAATGCTGTTTCAGATGACGTAGTACTTATCCATATTTTTTATAATAATTCACCATAAGTGAGGAGGCTGTCAGGCGACTATGCATACCTGGTTCCAATGACCGCTTCATAATTGAGCCTTTGATATAATTGCGGCTGTCTGCACGAACTGTTATCATACCGCGACGCGCTTACAACACGGACGCACCTACCTGCGCTCCGCGAAAACCGTCTACGTTCTTTCGAACAGTTTTGCCGCCTTTTTTTAAATAAATTCACAATTGCCTATAGACAACGAACAATTTTTTTATTAAATAGTGCAGTGACTTTAAGTGGAGTGATTCTAACTGTATATTTGTAAGTTTTCATTAAATATTTACTGTTTTTAATTAAAATAAATTTAGGACTGAGTACAAAATAACTGATTTAAAAGAAAAAAGGTATTTTCCTTAATATCAAAGAGAATATTTTCAAGTTAAGGAAAATTATAAGTCTATCAAGGTTTTTTGTGGAATAAGTCTTCACACAGTTCAGTCAACGTATACAGATTCTAATTATGCTTCGATGGTTTTAAATGATTCCAATTAATTAATTTAAATACTAATAACAAAAGATAACCGTTTCATTTTATCAACCGGCTTCAAAAACGGAGGAGGTCCACAATTCTCAAAACTCCGTTATTTATAAACAGTTTAAGAAAATTCTTTTTTTTTTTATCTAAAAGAATATACTTTAAGTCCCATAGAAATTTTATCAAAATCGGTTTAGATTTTAAACCAAGTTTAAATCAAATATTTTATAAGGTGTTGTCGCGATTGAAGTATATTTTTTTTGTGAAATAAAATCTTGAATATATTGATAATAATTTTCAATAACATAACTATTGGCCATGGCTACTTTATTTGGCTGAACAAATTCATATTTTTTACTTTTTCATTACTAATGTTTTTTTTAGAATCAGACTAAATATATACATAGTACGAAATGCAATACAGGATGTATATGTATGTATATGTATTCATATACATATACATTCTGTGATTTAGATATTCTCTGCTAATATGTATAATATAGGACGAAAAAATATCCACATACATACATACATACATATATATCTGTCACGCCTGTCTCCCATGTCTCCTCTCTATAATATTAATAAGATAGTTTTAACATCTATTAAGACAGGTGTTTATTTTTTATTATTTTTTATTTATTTCGAATTAGGCACACCAACAGTATACATATTATACAAAAATTAAATATAATTTTTTGTGTAGTATGGTGATATGCATACCTACAGCAGGCGTACACAACATTAATTACAGATTACATGCATATAAATGTCATAATATAATTAATAAAGGTGTTAATAGATATAGTAGTTTAAAACATTAGAAGTGAACAATGACATAAACTAAAATAAAAAGTATTCTACGAACAAATTTTTAACGGCATCGATATTAACATAATGTGCTATGAATAAAATAACATTTGACCTCTATGTTACAGTATCGAATTTTAAACAGTATAAAAAAAAAAAGTAACATTGTCCGCTTATATAATATAAGTAGATATTTATACATGCTATTGAAATTATATATTGGAATGAAATATAGCTGGAGGTTTTTATAAGCTTTATTTATTTCTGCGATTGATTACGATCTCATTTGATGACAAGCGATGATGTGGTCTAAGATAGAGCTCACGGGTTCACAAATAACCTATTGACATTTGCTTGAAATTGATCTAGAATACTAACATGTCTGTACGGTCTCGGCACAGAGTAGGCAACCCCTTCCATTGTATATGGGTGTTTTAAGAGGCGACTAAAGGAACATAATGGTACAAGGATGGGCAGCGTTCCTTTTTGTACATTTTTAAAAGTTTCACTGAGTGCCAACCCGCTTGCCAAAGGTGTCAACTGCTGGGAAACTCCCCTTATAGGGAAGGCTTATGTTCAGCAATGGACAGTTAACAGCTGAAATAATGATGATGACTAGCTTTTTGCCTGCTACTTCATAGGCGTGGATTTCAGAAGTAGAAAAACCAATGAAACACCACTTATCTAGATCTATCACTATTAAGGTAAAATATATATTAGATTTTAAATTATACCTTAGAGTAAAAAGGTGGCTTCTGTTGCTCTTATTTAGATCCTTCACTTATATATTTTTTAAATATCTCCAATGAATAGACAACGTTTGGTTATAATTTTATTATATTAGTAATATTAATTGACTCGGCGAACGTTGTTTTGTGCTCCCTACATTTACCTATTCAATTCAATAACAAATGTCCAATTTTTTCTCTCCTTTCAATCTATTTAAAGATGAAAATTAATGTTTACAAAATTTAATTAACCCATTGAAAAATGAATGATTAAATTTCATTTCCAATTGACAGCATAATTGCGTAACATATTCACAAAAATAAAATATACAGAAGAATCGAGATACTCCTTCTTATGTAAGTCGGTTGAAAATTAATGCAAATCATTTCAAGATAAGTATACCTATCTATTTCAATATACAAGTATGATTATCTTATCCGATAGTTATGGAAACACTGTCACTGTTATATTTTATGTGGGTCATCGGGATCATCTTTTTTTTTTTTATTACAATACCTTCATAACATTATAGACATCTGGTCTACATGGTAATAATGCGAAATAATAATGGGCAATTATTAAAATATTCGAACAATAGTGGGATTTTATTAATTAAATGTAAATTAGGTAAAATGTTTTTAATTAAGTATAGAAAAACAAGTAATCTGTTTAACCAAGTCCACCTGTATCCATATTTTTCAAATTGATACCTATATAAATAAAATCCAATTGCAGAATATATATATATATGTATGTGACTTCAGAACAGTTGCACCTATTTCGTTAATTCTTTTTATGTTGTGTTTTTAATTGTAAGGACAAGTTTGAATGAAAAAAATGTATGAATACATATATTTTTCATAGAGAAGAGTGAAAAATTGAGCTAAGAAATCTCTATGTAAAAATGTTGGGTCGTACTGTAAAGATTTTATCTCTTCTTCATTAGTACATCCGTGCGAACTCGGGGCGGGTAGCTAGTTAAAAATAAAATTATTACTAATGGTCTAAATGTGAAAGTAAGTTTATTTGTTACCTCTTGGCATTTTAATAGCTCAATTTATATTATAAAATTTGGTATACACATATTATTTGAGATTGAGAAGACAGGCTATGTTTGTCTTTGCCAGTCGACATATACCGGTCATGCGGACGAATTCGCGCGGAAAAAATATTATCTTATGTATATACTTTCATATATATATATATATAATTATACTTATATATGAAATGAAATGAAATGAATTTATTTTGCTAGAATGCAGGTAATTTTAGATGATAGAGGTTTATATTTCCCGTGTACATTCTGCCTCTATGTCGGCGTGCAAATTTTTAACAATATAATATATTTATATATATATTCTACATTATATTTCCTTTCCTTAGTCATGCAATATATTATTATTATTTATTACAGTAAACAGAAAAAATAAAAGCCTGTACAATAGTTGTCCAAATTAATAAAATATTTTAACAACTGTATCTCTAGTGTAGGTTGTGAAGTGCATTTGTTTTTTTAGCGAAATATTCATTAATGGTATAAAACCCGTTACATAACAGCCAATTTTTAAGTTTACGTTTAAACACTGTACGAGCTGTTACTTCTCTAATGTTATTTGGTAGATGGTTGTAAACTTTAATAGCCATACAGTATGCGTTTCTTTTATGTAAATCTAACCTGCACTTTGGTACATATAATTTGTCGTTTGGTCTAGTTGTACGTGTTCTCGAGTCCGATATTCTTTTGAAAAAGCCAGCATGTTCCCTTACAAATATACACAAATCTCTAATGTACATACATGGCAGTGGAAGAATATTTAATTTCTTAAAAAGAGGGCGACAACTTTCTCTATCTAGTTATATCTATGATGTATAAAGAGAATGACACATGATTCCGTAACTCATCCCCGGCGGACACAACGGATAATTAGTTATCTGCGGATAAAAATTACTGTCGGCGTTTCTAAGATAAAATACATAATTTTTTGCATATTTATCGACTTGAATAGTTTTTTTTAATAATACTGGCCATTGAGAGCCAATGATTATGATCATTAATAATGAGATCAATAGCCGCAAGAGGCCATGACCTTGATGGCCTATTATAACGTCGAGTATTGTCGTTCAGTGTGATTTAGAAAAACCAATAATTTAATAAAATAAATAATTTTTTAATCGTTGATTACGCTGGCCGGTTATATGAAAGGAACAAAAAATGATGATGAAGTCTGGTTAGTCGATCTATCATGACTTTTTCACCAAGATTGAACCACGACCACAGATGATAGTGTCAATGATGTTTTTCAGGGAAAACACGTGGATTTGACGGAGTATACTTGTTACTAGCAAAGGGACCGTTAATTCCCTTTATTATAAGTATAGATCAAATGCTCTCCCCCACAAATATCAATTAAATATCCACCCTTTGTACACCATAGTAACGGCATACACGAGTAGTCAGTATAATTCTCTTTTTTACGTTTCTTAAAATAATAAATTCGTTTACCAAAAAAATTATATCAAATTAAAAAAAAAATTGCATGGAACTACTCTGAAGTTAATATGAATAAAGATAAATCTATTCACAAACGATATTGTATAACAAAAAAAAAAAAACATTTTTTTTTACTTTTTACAACACAGGCAAACGAGCATGCGGCCTATCTGAGTGTAAATTACTATCCCCACCTTTGAGCACTCGCACCAGAGGAATTGCAGGTGTGCTGTCGGCCTTTTGTATGATGTGTAATAAAATATATGGCTACTCTTTGAAATTGGAATATGTCCTTCCTTGTAGGTACTCAATGAGGATAATAGGTATTAAATAAAGCGTACCATTGGTATTAATACGTCACTAAAAGGAGACTACGGAATTTCCAAAAAGTCCTGTCTACGTCACATGAGGAAATTTTGTGCGAAATTCAAGTTTCGACCGATCGTGGGATTCGTTTTCAACCGATTTCAAAAAGAAGGGGAAAAGGATTTCAAAAAAAAGGGAATTCGATTGTATTTCTTTTTTAATTATTGAGTACTAAGTATTTCGTTTGTTTATATTTCGAATATTTGTTGTTTTAGTATTTTCGAATAATTGTTGCTTTAGGATAAAAATTATCATATATGTAAATTCTTTCAGTTGTTTAAGTATGACTGAGTAGCGAATATTCAAAGTAATTTCCATGTTTATTATTAATAAGAATTTGTATATAGGCGTCGATTAGAATGTATATGATATCATAATGTATGAAAAGAT